TCAAGAGAGATAGGTGAGGACTCAGCTGCATCGCACTTACCATCAGGTGAGAATGATGCTAACCTTGATGATACTTCAAGTCTGCGGAACTCTAAGAAAAGCCGCCTAAATAAAATTCCTGATCCTCATTTTCATGAAGAAGTTCAGGATGATGCAACCTTTGAGGAGAAGAAAAAGGCGGTGGAGAAGATAAGAGAGGTCAGAGAGGATGATGGAGAGAAGAAATTGGAGGCTGAAATCCAAGAATCTTTTCCATCTGAAGTAGTTGTTGATACAGATACAGTGGATGTTGACAATACCTATGAGTTGCATACTTCACCTTTGAGGTTGTTTGGAGAGCTTACAGGAGATCCAGGTATTGGCTTTTATCAACAATGCTTCAGGGAAACTCACGCAAGATTGTTGAACCATGTTTGTTTCAGACAAGGTGAGATTTCCCATCCTCACTATCAGTCAAGGATCAACGAGGACGACTTTGTTCGATCCATTCGAAAGATCTGTCCAGTACCTCCACCTGATTGTTATGAGGACAGCTCAGAGCATGATTTGAAGAGATTTTTCATCAATGATGACCGCATCATTTATTTGGATGACAAGTATCAGATCGATCCCAGGACCCTTGAAAGGGCAGAACAAGCTCGAGCAGATTTGGAGGATACAAAGAAACATTTTAGAGAAGAACTGGAAGAATATGGTCCCAAGGGACCCAGTTGGGACTATGTCGCCTTCTATGAAGAGCTGTGCAAAAGGTTCCTCAAAGGAAGAATAGAAGAACAATATGAAACTAACTTATTGGCCAGCTCAGAGTCCTTGACATTTTTATCCTGGAACTATGGCAACATGGTTCGTGGTCAGAAATACACCACACCAAAGTTTCTTTAAGGACTTGATCGTGCAATGAAGCCACGCAAACAGAGTGACATGTCACTTCAGTATGAGCAATTTGAAAACAACCTTTTCTTCAACATGCTCTTCTTTTTACGTGCGCATGTCGTGATTCTCCAGGAAGCTCATCTCCTTGTTCCTGCCAAGGATTTTCTTGAGCAAAAGAATTGGACAGTTTGTTTCAATGATTGGGAGAATCTTGCAGTGATGGCTAGATTGGCACCAGGTGGATATGTCAAGGTCATTGCTGGACATGACCAAGACCTTGGTCACTGTCAACAGCGTGATGTAACTTGGGCTATCTATGAGATTTGTTTTGGAGAAACAAGGCCTCGCCAAGAGTTCAAGGATGCAGACTTTGAATTTGAGGACTATGGTCCTAAGGACCAGCGTGTTCCACTTACTCGAGCGAACATGCATACCATCAGAGTCTGTAATTATCATGTTGACACACACCGTGCTGTGGATGCCCACCTATTGACAGGAGAACAGACAGCATTGATGCTTTATGAGTGTTTTGTATATGAGGTGGACATCATTTCTGGTGATGCAAATAGTTTGGCCTACAGAATGTCTCGATACAAAAGGCAGCCAATGGCTAACTATTACTACAGCACCATGCAGCATTGGATCCGCAGGTTTTCAGAAGCCCGTGTAGCAGCAGATCCTGGTATCAAAGCACCTATTCCCAGAACATTTTACAGTTCATCTTCACATGTCCTCAAGCAGTGTGAAGTTTACTTTGAGAAACTCTGGGAAGAATACTCTACAGAAGAAAAAGAAATGTACCAGGGATCAAAGCTTGGCGATACGTGTTTGTCTACCATTGTTGAATGGGGTCATTCAACGAGTGGAGAGGAATATACAAATTCCACAGTGAGCACGAAGGAGTTCGTCTGTAATTTTTCAGAGAACTTTGCTATGATTGACACGGAGGTTATGTGCTCAAGACCCTCTGACGATGACAGTCATGGCCCAATGTTTATTTCACTCAGACCAGCTTCCTTTTCATCTGGGGACAGGAAGCTTTATCGCTTGGGCGAGACTCTTCGAGAGGCTAACTTGCGGAGGAAGGAGAGACAGAAGGAGAATAGAAGGAAAGGAAGGCCGCCAACTTCTGATCAAGCAGCTCCATCGACTGCAGCGGCAGAAACTCAGAGCGGAGGCTGAACTTTAAATGATGGCTAGGAAGTGAAGATACTTCTGATTACAGTTGATACTTTGCTTCCAGGCTTGACTTTAAGTTGCCAGGCTGAAGTTTTAAGCTTTAGCATGCAGATAAATATAGTTTTACTAAACGGATATTATCTGCAGGTAGGTATGGACAGTTTTACAGAACTGATGATATCTACCACAGCCGCTCTTTTGAAGTGACCTCTAATGGACAACCATTTATGGTTGATGATTAAGTCATTTTATGAATTTGCAATTGTAGTGCAAGATTTTTGTACATAACTTTGCCGGTATCTCCTTCCTTTTTGTTTTTGGCTGATTTTTGGTATCAATGTGAGAGAGTCCTTTTGATGCAGTTAAAATTTTTGGTATAAGTCCTGTGTATGGAAGCGGCCGAGACCACTTTTCGAGAAGACCATTCCTCGGACCGAATTATTTACACTCCTTGCATTTTGCAAGGCATTTTAATTCATTGCATTTTGTGCGGTCTTGAAACTTTAGTTCTTTCGTTACGCGGGTGTCGTTTACTGCTTTTATAGGTCTCTGTGCAAAAGAAGCCGCTTTCCTTCTGAATTTAGAATTTTCTGAAAGATTGACAGCTCTGGCTATTTAAGGGCTATTGAGCGCCGGTACAAGGTATCTTCGCCGGTGAACGATACAGTCTCCAGCCGAGATACATTGTTTTGACTTTGTATTTGAGGTGAGTAAGCTATCGCTCCCTCACTGTATCTAGTATACCTAGAGATTACCTTTTCTATAGTGTGCCACACACTGGAATTGGTAAGTACAGGGCACCGTAGTTTCCTTTTTAGCTTACTAGAGCTTGCTGGACTGTTTTAGCCTTACGGTGGAAAAATAGTGTGCGACATACGCAATAGGCTGGAGTGGACATGAATTTTGTGCCTGCTGAAATGTAGAGGCCTACTTGTACAGGTTCCACTCCAGTGGCCTATCTAGTGTGTCCATGCTTGACTGCCATAAGGCTCAAGAGGATAAGACTCTGCGTAGAGAAAGACACTAGCGGTCTGCGCTTCAACCGTGTACGCCCTAGTCACTCTTTCACCCCCCCCCTTGGAATGGTTTTTCCCTACAGACACCCCCCCCCCACCCCCCCCCTCTAAAATCAATTCTCTCCTGGAGAACGTCTTCGTGAGCCTCTCATGATTTCAGGATAGTTGAAACCCTCTTGAACATTCAGAAAGAGTGAATATGAAATTCTAATCACGAAAGGTGTTCCCCGAGGGGATACATACCTAGAGTTTGTTTTGTGAAGCACGTCAATTCTCTCCTGGGGAGCGTCTTCGTGAGCCTCTTATGGTTTCAGGATAGTTCAAATCCTATGATGTTCCGATTCAATGCTCACCGATGATCTGAGCCATGGGGCAAGTTTGTTTTCCTAAGAATCTTTTTGAACATTTCGAGAGCACATGTTTGAACATTTAGAGTGCAAATGAACATATATTGACGAAAGGTCGCCTCCGAGGGGATAAATCACCATGTCGAACATTGCATTTTTGTTCCTGCCTCTCGCGTTCTCTTCTCTTCCCGCTGTCCTACCTTTCGTGTCTCCCTCCTCTCAAGTTTCGTCTTGGTGCTTTGGGTTTGGTTTTGTGTTTGGTTTTGGTTCTTTTGTTTGGGCTCTGTTCTTTCCCTGGCTCGTATCTTCTCAGCAATCTTATCTAATTCAATCAAGGTGACTTGTGCCTCTCGGCACACACAGCGCCCGCACCCGTGCAAAAAAAAACCATTTGAGTCAGCTCGTTTCAGTTCAGAGGCATTAGAAATCTGAAATATGAACTTGAAGTAAACACGGAGATTTGGAAGACCATGAAGAGAGGATTACCATTTTGCAGCTGAGCCAGCAAAATTCATTGTGGATTGATTCTCAATGGAGGCTTTGTTGAGCAAGAAGTACCAGATTTTGAGCCAATCATCAGTTATGATGTTCTTGGCCAGAAGGAGCTTAGAATATATGCAAGCAACAGGAGGACAACATCAAGGCTATCAAGTGACGTGGCAAGCAGCCACACATGGAGCAACCCCATCAGAAGGACCATTGACCCAAAATGTTGAAATCAGGAAATGGAGAGCTATCAATCAGAGAAGAGTGTGAGGTAGAACAGGCAAACCAAAAGTGTGGTCGACTGGAGAAAAAATTCAACAATTTAATGAGAGGCAGTGGAACCCTATGGGAAGAGGACTACAAGAGGCAGCAGACCAAGTTGAACAGGAAATGGACAGCTGTAGAATGTGCAGGTATGAGAAGAGACAACCCAAATGCACCAATGCCGAGAATCTCTGGGAACCCCGTTCCCTAGAGAAAAGAGAAAATCCGCAAAAACAGATTACACAAATTGGCTATAGTGGCAGAGTGAGCTCAAAGTAGCAATTCGATCGCTCACACTGCCAAGAAGGAGTGTGTAGCATTTTCAGTGCAGACTACAGAATATATACATGACATCATTAGCGTGTCACTTTGTGTAGTTGACTTGACTGAATTTTTTTTTGATCAGGAAAAACATTCTTTTTGTGGAAAGATCTGAAGTGAGGATCTGCTCAGCTCATGGCAGTCGATGCGAAGTGCACAGGGAGCCAGGTACTTGGAAATTTGGGCATGCTTGATGTGATCTGAACGCTGTTTCACGGAGCATGTGCTGACAGGAATTTGGACGGTCGATTGCCCGCTTTTTGCATCAATTTTTCGTTCCGAAACTGGCGAGAGATGGGAGGGCTGTGAGGCTTTCTGCAGAAAGCAGTCCTGGAGTTTGTCCAGCCCGGCCGCGTCAGCTCGAGCCCAAAGTTGAATACAAGGATGGAGGAAAAATGGCCTAGATGACTCATGAAAGGATCGTGTCGGTCTCAACAAACTATTGAGGTCAACAGAGCCAACAGAATGCTTTTGAGCGGTATGCTTCACAAGTCCAAACACCTCAAAACAACACGCACTTCCACTTGTGCTAGTGTTCTTTTCTGCGTGCAACATAGCACATGAGCCTCTTGCCTCCGTGGTGTGGGCGCCTCTGCGCCTGGAACACGCCAAGCTGCGCTTCTGGCCTCTTCAATTGGTTTGGGAAGGTGGGACAATGCTTTGGAATTCTGGATGATCCTGGAATTCAAGGAACTGTGCTTTCAGCTTACTGAACTTGAGGATTTTTTCAATGAGGGACCACAAAACTCAAGATTTCTTGTTGCAGGGTGCTCGTTCTACTGATATGGATGGTCAATTCCTTGCTTTTGAGAACCCCAGAACCCGTCCCTCTTGGTTCAAATTAGGTTTAAACTTAAACTCATGGCGCACCAGCATCTCTTATTGAGCCAAATGAACAGACTCCTTGTTCCTAGGGATGTCAGTCGGTCCTATGGTCACGGGGGGATCGACTTACAGCTAATCCACAACCCTTTGTGGAGAGCACATGATGTTGGCAAATCCGCCCGGAGTTGGAGCTTGCAGTTCTTGGAGATTGCTGCGTGGTCTTGGAGGAGAGTTGCTGGCAGCTGGAAATCCAAGAAAGGGCCGAACGGCCTTCCGTCACAAAGCTCTCCACACCAGATGGGTCCATTTGCGTTTCGCATTGGATCTCCGAAGTTGCATGGATTGCCGCACGTGTGTGATGCGCTGGGCTGGGCTTGACCCGCGTTGGCTCCATGGAACAACCCCTCTCGTTGGTTGCCCTGGTCCTTTGATGAGTATTTTTTGTGGCAGAGTTTCGGTTTGCTTGGGCTTGTGGAAGTTGGTGGTTTTTGTGGAAACCAGGTTCATCTTCACCAACAGCTCTTTCACATCTGACGTCACTGCCGCTGACTCGAACCGGTTCGGGGGCGGTCTGTGCCGTGCCGTGCGGTCTTTGCTCGGCTCGGGCTCGGTGGAATCCGGGACCCCGGAAGACGTCAAGGTTCACCGTCCGAGCTGCTGAGCTGCTGAGTTCGTTTTCGTTCGGTTAGGCTGAAGCAGCATAGTTTGGGATGCCTGGAATGGAGATTGCGGCCCGGAAACACACTAGCCACATTGTTTTCTGCCCCAGAGGGAATGCAAGAACAAAAGGTAAAGGAGGGTTCTGTGCGCGTGTGCTCGAAAGGCACTTTTTCTCGGACAAAAAAGGCTTCAGTCAATCACTTCTCGATTTGTGCGTTGCACTTCGAACAACTTGGTACACTTCTCAACCTGTGCACCTTCTTCAAACTTCTACAGCTAGGTACACTTCTCGATTTCATGTACCAGCACTCCCCCTTCGCTGCTTCAGCGAATCCGGAGGTTCCAAAAACTCCAAAACCCCTTTTTTCAGGGGGGCTCAAGCCTTCTTCCCTTCAAATGGTCTTGAACATGGTGTAGCCCCACCACGTCTCTAGGTGAACTCCTTTTCTTCCGTTTCTCTCGTCCACAAGGATCGTCTTCCGCTTCGAAGTGGTGTGCCATGCCACCGTCATCCTCCATGGACTCCACTCCTCCTCAAGCAAGTTCTTGGCATCGAAGTCATAGAGTTTCTTTCTATCCTGGTAGTGGACTCTGATCCCAATCTTCTTTCCTCCATCATAGTCGATCAGGTAGTCCCAGGAGTCCTTTGCCGCGGTACGTCGCGGCGGGGTGGAGATGACCTTCAACACCGCGTCGTTGATGAAGCCCCTCTGGAATCCTGGGGACCTCAGATAATCCCACATTTCCTCCTCATGGCACCATTTCCCAAGCACGATGCCTTTCTCAACTGTCGTGACCAGTCGCAGCGGCTCCACCCTCGGTAGCCTTCCCGGCTGATGCTCTTCCGGTAGTTGAGCTCCTTCTTGAGGTGGTGCTTCATCTCCTCCACTTCCACGAGCTCCGAAGTCAATGCCCCGCGCTGGTCCACGACCATCTCCTGGGTCATGTGCCACGAAGTGCACCCCTTCTGAATCCATCATCACCCATGTGCCACCGTGGTTCCGCCGAGCTCCTCGTTTGATCATAGATCGATCCCAGGCACTTAAGCCCAAGCCCAGATTCCTGCGGCGCCTCTCCTCTGCCTCCGCATCGTAGGCCCCTCGACACCATAGTTCTGAATCGGGTACTCGATGGTCTCCAGCTCCTTCTTGGTGTTCATGAGATAGCCCCTCACCAGCGTCCTCCTCGGTCTGGATGCTTCTGTCTTCCGTCGCTCCACCTCGTCTCCTTCCGACTCTCAGCGTCCTGATGGAGATGCGGTCGACAGGGTTCCGAGTTCCCATTTCCTGTCGCTGGTAGAGAGGGTCATCCGGCTCTGCCCAGGGGTACAGCTCCTCATGTCCAGAGTAACCGAATCCCCTCGAACCTCGAACCGTCTCTGTCAGGTTCTCGACGCTGTTGACCCCAACCTCCATGATCTTCTCGATCACCAGCTGAGCCACTCTATCACCCTTGTAGATGAAGAGGTCCTCGTCGCTCCAGTTCCGCAAGAGCACTTTCACTTCCCCTCGAAAATCTCGGTCAATGACTCCAGCCCCTGTCTCGATTCCCCGAATGGCCAAGCTTGACCTCGGAGCCACCCGTCCGTAGGTTCCTGGAGGAAGTTCAATGGCCAAGCCAGTCTTCACCAGTACGCTGTCACCTGAGGGCACCATGGTCTCAATCACCGAGTGGAGGTCCAAACCGGCCGCCTGCTCTGACCCACGAACTGGTAGTCGTGCTTCAGGATGGAGGAGCTTCACTTTGAGCTCTTCTCTCGGCGACATCCATCGTTTGACCCCCGCAGTACCCACCCGAAACAGGATGTCTCCGATGATTGCAATCGCTGCGGTGAGGAGAACCAAAATCCACCATTCGCTGCCCCCTCCATCTGTCTGGGTATCGCTGGCCTCAACCTGGGTGATCATGCTCGTTGCGGCGACCAGCAGTCCCAGCCCTCTCGCAAACCGTGGGTCAGGACTCTTTCTTCCAAATTCCAGCTTCTTGACCTCCACCTTCTCCATCACCTGGATCTTCTCCAATCCCAGGGTGTCCTTGAAGTTCTTCAAATGCTGGCCCGTCAGCTGTTTCGTCATTCCATCTGCCACCAGCTCGACACCAGCCACGTGCCTCAGGGAGACTTCTCTTGACCGCAGTGCTTCCGTTAACCCAGCAGCTCTGATCCTCAGGTGCCGTGTCCTCCACGATGAGGTCGTGCCTGCAGCAATCGCTATGGCCGCTGTGGAGTCCGAGTGCATCTTCATCTTCACCTTTCTCTCAAGCACCGCTTCCACTAGAGCTCCCGTCGAGCGGATGGTCACCAGGCCTTCTAACATCGCCATCAGCTCAGCCTCCGCTGTGGAGAGCGTGATGAATGCTTGTCTCGTAGTGTGCCAAGCAATCGGAGTCCCTCCATAGCACACTACCACCCCAGTTAGGCTCTTGAGGTCGGAGGAAGCGTACGATGCATCCGAGTAGACCTCCACGTCCCCCAGATCTTCCTCCGCCACTTCCCCTCTTCCATCACCTCCCTTGATGACCAATCCCTCATCTCGGGTCTCTCGAAGATAGGCTCGAACTTGAGCTCCAATGGCAATCACCCCTTTAGGCCTCTTGGTCGCCCATTGGCACATGAGGCTCACTGCCAGGCAAATGTCTGGGCGTGTTCTTCCGGCGACCCAAAGCAGCTCTCCAGTCTCCTTCTGGGCTCTCGTCACATCGATCGCCAGGGGTGGATCCTCCTCCTCAGGCGTCTTGATGTTCCCGAGTGACGACCTTCCCTTCTCGTCATACTCCATGAAGAGATTCTCCAGGTACGCCCTCTGGTGGATCACATAGTCCCGCCCACGCCTTTCGATCTCCATTCCCAGAAATCTGACTGGTTCCCGGCCTTCTTCGACCCACTCTGGTTCCCCAATTTTCCAGTGCTCTCGGACTTGTTGATGAAATTGCTCAATCACCTTCCTCTCCCCGGTGATGAGGATGTCATCCACGTATGTTGCGCATAGTCCTGCAAGCTGCCAACCTCCATCCCCTTCGACCCCAGAGTCACTCCGGCTTTTGATCGCCCAAACATCATCTTGAGCAGTCCCTTCCATCATGTACTGGGTGTGCTCGATCTCCCACTTGAAAGCCTTGATCTTCTCATCTCTGTGGACACACCAATCCCGAGGAGACGTCACGAGCCCGTACAAGGCTTTCTTGACCAGCCAGTACTCCGTGGGGTGTCGAAGCACTCCTGCCTCCTTGAAGATGCGAGGCGGTTCCACGACCACTGTGCCTCGTTCGGCGGCCTCATTCACTGGAGCGTTGAGGAAGGCGGTCTTGACATCGATGGTCGAGAGGTCCCATCCGCGAACAGCAGCCACCTTCATCAACATCCGCACCTCAATGCCACTAGCTCCGGACGCAAAGGTGGACTCGCTGCTCTTCGCGTGCATGAAGTTTCCACAGGCGACCCCTCGACACTTGTGGCGACCCGTGCCAGCTTTTCGACTGAAGATGGCCTTCGCAGGGACCAGGTCAAAGTCCTTTCCTGACTCAGCTGCCTGCTTCCGGAGCTCCTCCATCCGGGCACGGTCGATCGGCTCAACCGCCTCTGATTCTGTGACCAGGGCACCATACTCCTCTGCCATCGATGGTCTCCACTCGGCCATGTTCTTCCTGACCTCGGCCAAGCCCACCATTCTCGTCTGCAGGAATGCCGGGTGCTCCTCAATCTCCTTCTCTATCTCCACAGCCTTCTGAGCTTCTTCCCACTGGCCAACCTGATTGGCCTCCTCCGTCACCGCCTCCACTTCCAGAGTGAGTGCCTTGAGGAAGCGTTCATTGGTGATCTCACCCTCGTTCTCCTCGACCAAGCTGAGCTCCTCGGACAGGAGTTGAGCTCCTCGCTGCTGCAGCTCCCCCCAGTCTGCCGCCCAGAATTCCTCTTCCGGAACCTGCAGTCTCTTCACTGCCCCTCGAACCCGGCCAGGTCTCTTCCTCGGCTGAGGAAGGCTTTCTCTCTCCTCAACCTCATGTAGATAGCCTGCCTCTCGGGCCGGAGCTTCAAGGTCCTCTGGGACTTCGGCCACCTCCACAACGTCCCCTGTGTGGAAGAACTTCCCCGTCTTGATCTCCTGGACAAAATAGCCCGGAGTTGTCAGGGACATCGTGACCGCGGGGCAGAGGATCCTCACCT